GGGAATACAAGACGATAACGCCTGTCGAGAACCACTTGCATTATCTGTTATTCAGAAACAAATTAATCATCAAATTCAAACAATTAATAAATACAAATATAACTTTTCAATATTATTAAAATTACTTTTGTCCTAATAGTTATTGATCTTGGGAAATATATTTCCAAAAATGTTGGTCTCTTAGAGCCGTATTATTGCATTTTTTGTGTATGCTTTCATTTGTGCGTAATTATGCGATATTCCTTTATTTGTGTATATGCGATATTGCAGTTTGTGCATAATTATGCAATATTCCTATATTTGTGTATAATTATACGATACTCCTTTATGCGCGTATAATTATGCAATATTCCACTAATTGTATATTAATATGCTATATTTCACTACTTGTGTATAATTATGCGATATTCCACTATTTGTGTATAATTATGCGATTTTTCTTTATTTATGTATAATTATGCAATATTCCACATTTTGTGTACAAATTATAAGTATGCGATATTTCACAATTTATGTATAATTATGTCTCTTTATTTGTGTATAATTATTTGATATTCCACTATTTGTGTGTAAGTATGCGATAGTTTCATAATTATTGTTTAACAGCCAGCCGATTTTCAAGTAACTAGTTAAATATGATTATTGTGATGATATTGTACTTTCTTTATTGTGATGATATTGTATTTTAATTTTTGTGATGATATTGTATTTTCATTATTGTGATGATATTGTATTTTCATTATTGTGATGATATTGTACTTTCTTTATTGTGATGATATTGTATTTTAATTTTTGTGATGATATTGTATTTTAATTTTTGTGATGATATTGTATTTTCATTATTGTAATGATATTGTATTTTCATTATTGTGATGATATTGTACTTTCTTTATTGTGATGATATTGTACTTTCTTTATTGTGATGATATTGTATTTTAATTTTTGTAATGATATTGTACTTTAATTATTGTAATGATATTGTATTTTCATTATTGTGATGATATTGTACTTTCATTATTGTAATGATATTGTATTTTCATTATTGTGATGATATTGTATTTTCATTTTTGTGATGATATTGTATTTTCATTATTGTGATGATATTGTATTTTCATTATTGTAATGATATTGTACTTTCATTATTGTAATGATATTGTATTTTCATTATTCATATTGTGATGATATTGTACTTTCATTATTGTAATGATATTGTATTTTCATTATTGTGATGATATTGTACTTTCATTATTGTAATGATATTGTATTTTCATTATTGTGATGATATTGTATTTTCATTTTTGTGATGATATTGTATTTTCATTATTGTGATGATATTGTATTTTCATTATTGTGATGATATTGTATTTTCATTATTGTGATGATATTGTATTTTCATTATTGTGATGATATTGTTTTTTCATTTAAAGGAAACATTTATAACCTTGGAGTCTGGTTAATGGACAAAGAATTTCAAAGTCTACTCTCTACTTGCTCTCATATGTTTCTACGTGGATATCAAACACTGGGAAAATTGATGTAAAACACTTGTGCAAAGATGTGCACATCTGCAATTTTGCGCAGTTTCAAAGTATATAGCCCGTAAAATTGACGTTTTTATTGCGGCTAGTTTATTTAAAGAGTTAACCCTACAGGTGGCGTACTATGTGAACGTTTAACATGTTACAAGTCACAAATTCAATAAATCTTTATATTTTATACAATTCTACATGGCTGTTATTGTTATATACATGTGCCAAATTATTAGGTAGAAAAAGAGCACCCTCTGTAATAGTCAAAATGTATTTCATATATATTTTGATAGATTATGTAACAATTTTATTGCTTCTGTTTATAGCCAATATAATTCTGAATCTTCATTTATTTTACAGAATCAAAACAAACAGCCACGAATACTGAGAAATTAATAATCGATCTCAAAGGCGATTCACTTTGTGGTTTATAAATTATTTGTAATTGTTGTTGTTGTTGTTGTTGTTGTAGAATTTCGTAATCTGCCAAAAGATGAAGTTACTGTTGTTAAAAGTAAGTTGTTAGCTAACAGATGCGCTTTATTTTCTAATACAATCGGTAAACTGTTGAAACTATCTCGAAACACTTATAGATTCCAGTGTTAAAAGACTGATCGGTTCTTCAAATAAAACGTTCTAAATGAACTCTCCTCAAATTATACAATACTGATCGTATATTTTTATCCAACCTCACCCTCCGCTCCCGGCCGCCGTCTCCCGTCCCACCGTGGTACATGTTGTAAATCATAATCTTGACATTTTAATAACCTGGCTTATCTAATGTAAATATCATCAGCTTATTATAAATAGTACGTTATTACGTAACAGACATGGTATATCCCCTGATGGACAAAAGCAAAGACACGGTTGCAGCCATGCTTTTACATTTTAGTCCCCAGTGTATTTCATAAAGCCTTGGGCACATTCTATCGTCATTTGTTTCGTCTGCTCCCATCATTCAAATAAGTCGAATTCGTTTTTTTTTAAAATGAAATTAATAATAAAAAATGAAAATAGCTATTGCATTGGTATTATTGTTGGAAAAAGTAATAAATTCTATCTGAATATGAAAGATAGCGTGAAAGCCAATCGTACCTAAATAGTTTTCGGGTTTTATTTTATGATAACTTCTGGGAGATGAATACTCGAATTCTTGTCATACATTTTATAGATATTATATTTGATATAGACAAATCAGCTTTTATAAAAAAAGAATTCCTTTAAATGAAAGGTAGGAAAACGGTTAAACGTGTTTAATGTAAGAATCAACAGGCGGCTTATATCAAAGAAGTCGTATAAAAATAGTCCGTGTAATCAAATGTAAAACAAGGCGCCATATGTATCAAATCTTTGAATGTTTATTCAAAGCAAAGTTCTGGGGGCATTTCATTACATAAACAGAGAAAAATAGCAGTATGTGTTTCTAAATAGGATGTTCTAAAAGACATAAAACAACTGTTATGAAGTTTATGTATCAAAAATATATAAAAATTGACCGACAATGTAATCGTTATTTGTTTGGTGCAATCGGAGATGTTCAAAACTTTTCCACAGCATTTCTCTCTTTTACAGTAATCACTTTTAAAATGAATATAATTTATTTTTATTTATATGGAACTATAAGCGAAAAGTGTAATTTAATTCCTTCCTTTCTTAATGATTTGATTGATTGATTGATTGCTTGATTGGTCGTTTGATCTTTTATTTATTTATTTATTTATTTTTTATTTTAGACAATTGATATTTCCTAAACAAGAAAAAGCATGAAATTAATGACTTTATGAATCACATTAAAATTGCTTATATTACCTGTGTGAACTTCTCGGGTTCATGTACTCCGGTGCCGGAGCTGGGAGTGGGGCTGTTGTGGTGTGAGGAGCGGGCTTGTATTAACCACCACCGCCAATGAATAAAGTTACATGTACATATTGATTCACATAAATTAGTCATTAAATAATGGTGAAAATTTAAATGTCTGTGATCTGTGCTTTGCCGTTGTCTTTTTTTAAAAGCAATTAACAAAATATGTAATATTTGTGGTGTACCATTCATGCGGTAGAATGTATCGCGCGTGTGTCCAACTAAAGAGAACAATTTGCGTGACAGAATTTAATCTTTCCACATCTCAGAGATTTGGAATGCACGCGATTTGAAATATGACCTTATCAATACATAATTAAGTTATCTGACTGTACAAGTAATATAGAAAAAATGTATGAATTACCCCCAAATGACTGATTTAACCTTATTTAAACATGGTGGTCACGTGACTCCGTATATATGCACTTAATAATTAAAAGTACGGCATTGCAGTAGATCTATATGACTGTATAAAATATAAGTCACGGTTTACAATGTTTCATGAGTTAGTGCTTCACCTTTCCAGAAGAACAATTAGTGGTTAGAAGTTAAGGAAATTTTTAGGAATGCAAAGGATAGTTTATTTAAAACTTAAATTCATTTTAAATGTTTTCACATAATTCCTGTGAGGTTTGTGTCAAATATACTAAACACAATCTTCAAAACATCGAGTCATTTGAATATAAAAGTAATATTCACATTGAATTGATGGTATAAATAATATTTCTACACTTAAACCGTTCCAACCAATTAGGGTAATTCATCAAGAAAATGCTTTACCATATCGTCGCCGTCAGTTAAAATAATTTCATCAATAAATGCTATACCATACCGTTGTCGTCAATTAAAACAATCACATGAATCATCATGGACAATAATTATGACAAATCACGTGGCTGACATAGAAACCAGTTGACGTGCCGCCAGAGTCGGGGAGATGTATTGGGAAAAAATAGCAGACGGAAAACTAGTTGCTATAGCATATATATTTTTCATCATAATCTGACTTATCCGTGGAAATATATCTACATGTATAATTGTATAGAATATACGCTAAGAGTAAGAATAATAATTATTGTGTGTACACTGTATGGTATAGTATAGCCGACAATTAATATTGTTTGAACCGAGAATAATTGTAAAAGTACAAAATGTACATAGCACGGCTCTAATATAGTACGATGATTAGATGTTATAAACGCTGAGAAAATTTCGTAATGTTAAAATATAAAAAAAATCTTCACGTCAAGTTCTAATATATATTTTTAATATTGTTGCTGGTATCAACAAACAATATAAATATTCTGTACTGACAACAACAACAACAACAACATATTCATTTGTAATAAGGTCATTGGCTGCAACATGGACAATCATTTTTACGATATACAAATAAGAGCATTAGTATGTTTGAGTTGTTTAACTAATGCTATGTTTACAGCAATTTTCCGCTTTTTTGCTTTTGTTACCAAAGTACAAAGATGCTTCAATATGACTTATTCACAGAAAGATATATATATAAAATTTCATGTGAAATATTTAAAAAAAAAGAAACTGAAAAAAAAAAACAAGAAAAAAAATCCTGATCATATAAATGTATTTGTCGCTTACCTTTCGGGTAGACTTCCGGTTTGGCTTGTTTTTCAACTTTCTGTTTTTTGTGATGTTTATTGTGATGCTGTGTCCATGACAACGGCCTCAGCTCTATGCTGTTCCGGACTGTCTTTTCTAACTTCTCAACAATCGCCGTTAAATTCCGAACAACTGAATCTAATGATTTGAAATTTGCATTTAAATTATCAACATTTTTCTCTTGTGAGTACATATTCTCTTGTAATTGTCTTAAACTCTGGCACTCTCTTTGTAATTTGCTTTTATACGTGTTCATATCTACAGACAGATTAGTCAGTTTTTGACCAGCTTGGTCATTTTGAACAGCAGCTGTAGTATTGGTGTTGGTAATATCATTTTGATGGGCTAACATTTGATTAAACATGTTCTCAAACACTTCAAATCGTTTGTCTATGTCCTTGTTCAGTTTATCGATGAATTTTTTGCACCTACATTTCCGTCTTTTTGTCTGTTTATTATCACTGTCGTCACTATATACTAAAAACAAAAGCGCGAACACAACTGCGCCCTGTAGAGTCCGTGTCAACTTCATTGTTTTAAGCGTTTCTTGTGCTGTGTCGATGTGGACAAATTTATCTCAAGAAAACGTTTTTTTAAAGTACACTTATTTCTTACTCATACAAGCAAAAAATGAATTTCATAATGAATGAATAAACATTTCGAAATTTCTTGGAGAATTATTGTATATTATGCCATGTGTCTGCTGTCGGGTTGTCAGCGTTCCTCAGCGTTCTTTTCAACCTATATAAATGAAAAGTTTACATATTAATAAAGCTGGAATAGATAAAAGGAAGCAACATGTCGCATGTTTCGTAGAAAAAATATTTTTTTCTTCAAATATTAAGGTTTGTAAATAGATCTACTATGCGAATTGTAGCATATCTTCTTGTGTTTTTATAAACATGAACTCTGGGTGTAGAAAAAAAGGAAGCGTAGACATGAATTTGGAATATTTTCAATTTGTTTAGACAAGTTATCATGTAATGGTGTTGAAAATCTCGTTTTATCAATATCAAGATATATAGCAAAAAAAGATCTCCGTGTATGTGAATTGATGTAACGCAATTCTTTCCCTTATCATAATATACGTATATCTTTTCTAAATCCGCTAGCTTCGAGTTAGACTGTATTGATGATTAACCTTTTACACAAAGATGATCCGATGAAAATCACACACCTGAAATAGTTATCAATGGATGATAGGATACACCGAAGGTTGCAATATAAGTAATATAGACATATCGAGAGAAAGTTCTGATAAAACGTTGCTAGACTCGAATTGGATATAAACAGAGCCAAGTTTTATATCTTATATTTTTATCACAGGAACTTATTCCTCTATGATAACTTATGTTATGTTACGGGGTTATGCAAATTACAAGATATCCAACTATTATCTTTATTGATCCAGCCACAGTATAAAAGTTATCAAATCATTGGCCACGTTATATAATCCTTCCTCAGAACATTTTCCGGACAAAGATACTTTAATTCTTTTTCATAAAATGTTAAATTTGCAACACTGACGGGTACAGACGAGTATTTATGCATTTTATATATCGTTTGAATCAAACATTTGGTAATATCAAATGAATTGATTTAAAGGACAGTTAAAACAAGTGTTTCAATAATATTTTTTTTTACGACAGGAGGTGTGTACATCACCGTATAACTGTTTTTGTCCGAACAGAGGATGTTGTTGTTTTTAGGGTATATCACTTCGTACAAACCACATTGGTAATTGTATATATTATATTTGATGGCTACTCAACTTATTACCTGGTCACGTTAGGTTCATATAATGGGTGGAAAAGATACTCCAAATGTTTATTTTGGCGAAATCTCACATGTTCTTCTTTATTCTACTTACAGCCGAGAAGAAGATAATCTGGTCAAACATCGTACAAAATAGATGCTGAATAGAAAATTAACTTTTATATGCTATACGCCTATTTTGCTAATATGTTAAAGTACTTCATAAGTTTTTATCAATGACGCTTCACGTAAGTGACTTTTATAAGTACAATCTAGTTTATAACTTTTGTTCGCAAAGTTCCAACTTGTATTGTTGTTAGTTTCTTAGTACAGGTATAAAGTTCAAGTGGCTGTACTTAACGTTGTGTAAAACGCCTCGACACATACCAAGTCAACTTTACATTTGAACCGTGTCACGACAAAACCAACATTGTGGGTTTGCGACCAGCATGGATCCAGACCAGCCTGCACCTCCGCGCAGTCTGATCAGGATCCATGCTGTTCGCTATCAGTTTCTCTACTTGTAATAGGGTTTGTAAGCGAACAGCATGGATCCTGATCAGACTGTGCGGATGCGCAGGCTGGTCTGGATCCATGCTGGTCGCAAACGAATTACGTTGGTTTTGTCATGACGCGTCTCATTTATTTTTTTCTTCAAAATTTAGAACATTCATTCACGTCGCAATAACTTACATTAATTTGGTATATTGTCTAGTTTAAACAATACATTACTCAGTACCATACTCGACAGTTTCAATTCCATCTATTTGTTTTCCTTTTATAGTTAAATAATATAATGGGTAGTGTTCACGTCTTTTTTTTCTAGCTAGATCTGATCCACTTTGTAATTTTCGAAAATTTTGGACTATGATTTATAATATCTTTGTAATTTTTACACACTATACATGTAATTATATCAACTAAGTTGACAATAAATCGTAATTTAAAATAATAAGATATTACGAATATCGGAATGAACATAAAGATAATGCATAAAGTTCAGTATAAACTTCTGATTATCCGTTCTTTCTTTTCCGCTCATTTTTTTTAAATCAATTGAAATACTTTACATTGTTAAAGGGCCTGTAAAAGAGCAGTCCGAGTATGTTAAATTACATGGTGTCAGCTGCAGATGTCAACATAGAACATAAAGGAAATGCCAAACATACATAACATGCAGTGGTTGATGATGATCGTGAAACAGATGTACGTATGTATCTAGTTAAAGCAATTAGTATACGAACAGAACATGGAATGTCTGTAGATATAGATCTACACTGATACCATCATACTATCTGTTACAGAAATACGAAATTTATCATAGTTATCTACACTAATGAAACAAATACACATAAATCTATTAAAAACTACACGTTTGTAATAACTTAATATACGAGACTTAGAATTCTGAACATTGTCAATAACCGTTAATTAACATTTTGTCAGATTCTCGTACTGGAATGGTAGAATGACTGTATTATACAGTTTTTGGCCCACTGACACATAAATTAAGGAACAATCTGGCACGGAGAAACAGGTTTGTTTAGATAATGAAAGTTTGCAAACTCGACATTAAAATTGATTAACCGAATTAACGGTTGATATCTGTTGAAATATTCAGCCTTATGATTTTACCATCTTCGAAAGTCCAATGAAAAATATAATTCGCAAATTTTCGAAAGAAAAAAATAAAGAATTAAGTAGAGATTGTGAAACAAAATTACCTTACTAATCGAGTTGTGGCGTTAATGGCTATTTTATTTTATTTTGTTTCAAAATACATAAAATGCAAGCTTGCGGGATGCACAAAAAGACGTTGCTTTGAAATTGAATAAACATTAATAGCCATAATCATTTAAAATTAATAAAATATATCATACGTGCGTATTGCAAAAAGATAATATTAGTTACCAGTATAAAAGAGTGATAAATTTAGAAGATAAAACAGACATTAACGTGCTGTACATTTAAGATAAGATACATGTTCAGATTAATGTTCTGACAGAATAAACCACCTGCTTGAAATCTATTTAATAAAGAATCATTGTTAACAACTATATGCCGGAGTTGTAATTTGAATTTTTTTTTACATATTTGATCGTCCGAATCTATTTGACAAATTATTATTATTAACAAGAAAATGTGGACAATTCAAGCACACGCAGTCACTATGACTTTGGCGTAACAAACTGTCTATTTGAAAAAAATTCCGCTGTTTTAAGAATTATTCAAACTACACAGTAAGAGATATGATATTATAGGTAAAATACATTAATATTGCTAGTTAGTCTACAGTTATAATCTATACGAGCAATATATCGCAATAATCTGTGTAAGATGTTGAAATAATCATATGAAATTAATTAGCGGTCTCTTTGATCACAGATAAGTGTTATACGACATCGGTTAAGTGGTAATATTAATGTATATCCCCTGCTGGGATTATGTCATCGATAAACTCTGGTTATAAAATCAGGAATATTAGAACATAATTACATTCCAGAGCAACATGCATATTGACATGTTATTTCCAGCTGCCGGCATAGATGTGACAAATCAATTTAAAAAATAAATGTCCGGAAAAAATACGTTCATTTCGATTTGATACGTCCGTTTTCACGGACCGTAATTATTCTTATTTTTTTCTAGTTTCGGTAGAGTATGCAAATTGTATATTATGAATGAATTGAATACTGAATATTGCTTAAACATCTTAATTAAAATCTATTTCAAAGAATGCATATTTAAAGCAGAAAAGTCTTTATATTTTAAAATATTCTATGTAAAAAAATTCCAAAACGTTTTCAGTATCTTGATTACATAATAGTTAACGGAACTTCACTGTAATCAAAAAGCCTAAAAACATAATATATATAGATGGTAGCAATACACTTCATCCCCCAGACACTTCACCCCTCAAATTTTGAAGACACTTCAACCCTTAAGACACTTCACCCCTCATCCAATTTTTTTCTATAAAGTAAATAAGCTAACAACATAATAGATCAGCTGGGGTATTTTAAACAAAAAAATATATGCAAAAGATGGTCAAGAAATGCACTCAGAAATACAACGATACATTGACACTTAACCCGATTTGTGTGAAAAGCGTTGCTACGCTTTTCAATTTTGGGTCATTTTTTCACAATAAGAATAATTATTTGGAAAAAACGAATTATTTGAAGTTTTGCATACATGTTATTAGTCTATGCAAACATCAAATGCAACATTAATCTCCAAAAAATATTTTCAGTCATCTCCAAAAACCTCAGAGGAGTCCCTTTAAAGAAAACGACCGTATCAAGTTTTACTACATATTGCTGACAATCAAGATAAAATGATCGTAGTATATAGGAAACAACAATTTATGAAATCCATTAACGGAATATGTCGCTTAATTAATTAAGATATGTATTATATTTTAATTTAAATATATAAATAATTAATTTTTACATCACAAGCTTTCTGCATGTGTTCGTAGTTTGTTTATTTTGTTCTATGATATAAAACTATATACATTGAAATTATTTACTCACGAGTATTTATTCCACACAAAAAATTGGCACGAATCACGTACACGTTACAATCCAAACCAATAAAGCAATTTCCATTAGTGAATAGCTATAAAAAATCTCACAGCCTGACTATAATAATTGTAAAGTGTATCAATTTTATAATATTATATTCCTGGTCTTGCTGTAGCATCAGACACGACTTGATTCACGAGGCATCACTTCTATCTATACTGATCAAGCAGAATCTATCAGACCCTGCTATATAGTGCCACTTGTTTACCAACCTATCAAGCTGTGCTGATGAACCTAACATATGCTTTCTGTATGGTTCCCGGCAGCTACAGGTAAGTAGATAACACAGTCATGCATTCTGATTTGTAACCAGAAACCAATCAAATATATACCCCGGTCAGTATCGATTTAATAAGAAAATTAAAAAAAATAACAATTCAAAAATCATACCGTATTTAGAGATAATCTATTACTTTTTATGATTTTTTTTTCAAGCACGTCATATCCGCATTGTTGACGAATTAATCTTTATCCCATTACGCGTGATTTGATTGGATAAATCATATCATTAATCAATTGTTCATCTTAGATCCAATTACCGTCGTAATTACAATCGTGTATTCTTGTTTTAACTTTATTTCCTTCCGATATTACACATTGCAACTTAACCTTAAGATGCCACTTCAAAATCCCTGTAATATAAACTTCGCTAAATTATTACTAATGAAAACTAGCAATGAAGACAAGAGAGGTTCGATAATAATTTGTTTAAAATGTAATACAATTAACAAGATTAAATAAGCGTGATATTCAATGAATTTAAGCTTCTTTCATATTTCTTCTACTTGTATCATAAATATCCGAATTTAAATAATTATATGAGTTGTGTTTTTTTCTTACCATTGCATGTTCAGATGAATTTAACTTTAAAATTGCTTTCGTACAAAAGCAGCGCATATCTGTTAGTGATTATCATTTCGATACGGACAAGACTCTGTTAGTAATTAAATAGGACAGTTTTGGACATAATTAATTCAGGCATAAACACCAATAAATTCTATATTGTCGACATTATTTTGTTAAACTAGAAATATGAAGCTGATGGGATTTAATGAAGCGGTAGTTTTGTTATCCAGCTGACCTCGAGGTACAAGTTCGTACCACTTCAAACTATCTGCGTGATCTGACTGTTGTTTTTCTTTATTATTTTATGACCTATAGCTCTGGTACTCTAGAACTTATAGTGTTTATAACATTTTTATAATGTAGCTCAGACTCGCCAAACAAAACACTGTTACAAATCGTACATGCTTTCTTGAAATGAGTTTTAAGATAAATTTCATACCAGAGACATAAATAGATTCCCCGTTGATACTTACGTGTTAATAAAAATGAAAGGAAAATAGATAATATTAACAGATGCAATTTCAAACGGTTCCACAATACAAATAGAGACGTGGATGTTAATCCAGTGAAATATGCGTTTTTTCTTTCCATAGAATTTTACATAAAAAAGATGTTGAACATTCCTGCAACAAATTACAATACTGAATAAACCTTAGTGTTTGAAATTATTTTTTGTCCAATAGAATTGCAGTATTTCAAATGACCAATAACACATCAACTAAATTTAAACCTGGTAAATCAATTATTTCATAATTGCTGCGCCATTCTTGACCAATTTAATTTTGTAAATGCTTCCTTACAAACACTAACCTTTATTACTAATATATTTAAACAAAAAAAAAACTATTTAAGCTTCTCGATTATCCACTTAATTAATACACAATTCCTCGTTATTTTCACCACATACATACTGTGATACATGTTTTTTATGCATATTTACATATCCATACAGCATATTTTAATAAAAACATTTTTTAATACAAAAAGTGCATCATTCTATAGACAGACAATTCTGAAAGTGAAAACTTAAATAATAAATTTTTCTCGCTTACCGTCATGAATGAACTTACTAGCCATCCCAAAATCTTGGTAGTAAATCTTACAAAAATTCCACAAGTACTTACTACAGTTACTTAAAACTCATTTATCATGAATGAACATTCAATCCACAGAACGAACTTTTGTTCCCCGTCAGATAACGCGTGACGCGTCCGGCCAACCTTCAATGTCCGAAAGCAGACCACTAAACGGGCTAAGGTATATCCGTTTTACAGTAGACTTAACCGAACAGAACAAAGTTAGATAAAAGAGAGCGTTAATTCTTCACTTGATTTGGTTGTTATAGAAACTAATTTATTTTATATGATTTCTTAATACATAAATAGTTTATTGTCTATATTGTTAAGTTTTGATTCGAAAAGCTATATTTTTCTAGTTTAAGAATTTCATGTTGTTACGGATGTTGCTTTTTGTTTTATTATTATTATTATTATTATTATTATTAATTATTATTATTATTATTATTATTATTATTATTATTATTATTATTATTATTATTATTATTATTATTATCTATTTTTTTTTCATCGTTTTTGCAACAAGTGAAATATGATAGTTTAAAAATGATAATTATTACCCGCGATAACATTTTCTTAGCCATTTCATTTATATGCACATGTACAATTCGGATTGATACAGATTCATAATTATCCCGGCTAGTGTTACTTTCAAAAAATTAAAATAATGATAAGAAATTTTTTTTTTATAAAAAATATAATATTTTTAGTGATTCACGGACCAGTCAAACACAAATAGAAAAAATAACTCATTGAACCTCAGTAATCCTAGAAATGCCCCTACAACTTTTCTGAAATAATCCAAATGTATAGTGAGAATTTTAACATAGTATTAACAAGTGATGCCTAATGTTCTATCTATCAGATATTAGTGTTTGAAATTATTTTTTTGTCGTGCCTGACCAATATTTTGTAAATGCGTACTAATAAATTTTAACCTATACTTAGCATAAAGAAAAAAATATTTAAAGAATAAATTACTTAGTTAACATGTCAGATTTCTTGCTTTATTTTATCATTACCTTTTTTCAATATTCTGTATAATTTATTCCATACAATCTGCACACCGTTCTGGGTATACTATACGCAATGATGAAAAATCCAACAATTTAGTAATTCCCAATTAATGAGCGTATTTATGTTAAAATCTATTCATACAAAATTGACAACTTCGCAAAAACCAATAACGTCATACATATCGGAATTCTGTCACTACCGTAAATTTATTTTAATGCACCACCGCATTGTTTCATGCAGAATTTCACAAAATTCTAATATTGTAACAGACTTACCTATTTACTTATCATCAGATGAATAATTCTAGCAATAATTCCTATTTGTATTTCTTAAATTACAATTAAATTCACGTACGATATACCGACAATATTATGAATTCGATTTAGACTTCATATGAAGTTTTTGGGGCGTCTAATCTGGCCTTTTTTGTTGAACAGTTTTTTTCAATGTCGAATTCTAGTGAGAGAGGAGGATTACATTTTGGTGGAATATGAGTCAATCTCATATGACAGTCATTCTTTGCAAATAAACACATTTATACACACACACACAATAACTCTGAGTTCATGCACGTGTGCACGTGCATAATTCTCATGTTTCCTAATAGCATATAAACGATAAAAACCATTATTTCCCTATTTGAAATAACAGATTAGTTAACTTTTTTTATTCAACCGGGTTTCAACTCTTAACAGTTAATTGTGGTAAATACGGTACAATGTTTAAATATAGACTATTGAAATTTTAGTTTATTTTGGACTCGTATATCATATAGGTATTTCTGATAATGCCTGATTGGCATTCCAATTATTTAGAAACTTATCTAATTGTATTGTTAAAGAACTTTAGGGTCAACAGAAGGAATGTCAGAACGTCGTACACGGAGATGTCGGGTAATTGGCGGTGTGTTTTCTATTGATACTTAACGCTCGTTGTAAGTACAACTCCTAATTAAGACTAAAAATAACGACAATGCCATAATGATAGCTGAAACAGTGTCTTTAAATAATAAGTGCGTCATATATTTAGAGCATCAGAATTATCTTCATCTAATTGTATCCATGTTTAGAACAAAAGTCCAAATGTTTAAAGACGGGGTCACCCTGATGAACGTAAGCCTCACATCGACTTGGTAACAGACATAAATAGACAGTCTCGTTATCTAAATGATATGATTGTCAATAATTAACAAGAATTTTCTAAAGGAACTTAATAATTTCCAAGCATGTAAATTTTGCTTCAATTCAAAGGTAGAAAAATTGTATTTTCTCAATCAGACTAGTCCTTGAAAGAAAATCATCACTTTTGATATTGACTTCTCCCTCAGATACATATGTTTTTATTCGATTTAAACACAATCATCGCTTTTTTGTAAGTGAATGTAAGTGATATCCGGATTAGTGGACCTATTTTCGTTATTTTCGTTACTTTTCGATATTCTAGTTAAAATGTAACGAGGTATTTAAAAAAAATTTATGTAAAGAAGTTGATACCTGTATCCGACTCTCGTGGATTCCACTTGCAGCCTGTACGTCGCACGAATTTTGTTAGGACAAATCGAACTCGCAGCCTGTACGTCGCACGAATTTTGTTAGGGCGGATCAAACTGGCAGCCTGTACGTCGCACGAACTTTGTTAGGACGGATCAAACTGGCAGCCTGTACGTCGCACGAATTTTGTTAGGACGGATCAAACTGGTAGCCTGTACATCGCACGAATTTTGTTGAACGTTTCAAATTGACAGCCTGTACCTCGCACGAATTTTGTTAGGACGGATCAAACTGGTAGCCTGTACGTCGCACGAATTTTGTTAGGACAAATCGAACTCGCAGCCTGTACGTCGCACGAATTTTGTTAGGGCGGATCAAACTGGCAGCCTGTACGTCGCACGAATTTTGTTAGGACGGATCAAACTGGCAGCCTGTACGTCGCACGAATTTTGTTAGGACGGATCAAACTGGTAGCCTGTACATCGCACGAATTTTGTTGAACGTTTCAAATTGACAGCCTGTACCTCGCACGAATTTTGTTAGGACGGATCAAACTGGCAACCTGTAAGTCGCACGAATGTTTTTAGGACGGATCGTACTCGCAACCTGTGCGGAACACGATTTTTGTTAGGACAGATCACACTCGCAGCCTGTACGTCGCACGAATTTTGTTAGGACGGATGAAACTGGCAGCTGTACGTCGCACGAATTTTGTTAGAACGTTTCAAATTGGCAGACTGTACCTCCCACGAATTTTGTTAGGACGGATCAAAGTGGCAACCTGTTAGTCGCACGAATTTTTTAGGACGGATCGTACTCGCAACCTTTGCGGAACACGAATTTTGTTAGGACAGAGCATACTGTCAGCCTGTGCCTCTCACGAATTTTGTTAGGATGGATCATATATACTTGCAGCCTGTATGTCGTACGAATTTTGTTAGGGCATATCAAACTGGCAGCCTGTACGGCGCATGAATTTTGTTAGGACGTATCATACTTGCAAGAATTTTGTTAGGATGTATCAAACTGGCAGCAGGTACGTCACATGAATTTTGCTAGGACTGATCAAACCTGCGCTACGCTACCTGTACGTCGCATGAATTTTGTTAGAACGGATCAAACTGGCAGTCTATACTTTGCGAGTTCTGCGAGCACTGATCACACTCGTAGCTTCTACGTAGTATGGATTTTGTTAGGACATCACACTCGCAGCCTGTACGTCACATGAATTTTACTAGGACGATTCATACTCGCAGCCTGTACGCCACATTAATTTTGTTAGAACATTTCACTCGCACCTTGAACGTAGCGTCGTAAATTTTGTAAGGACGGATCACAGTCACAGTCTTTACGTTATGTGAATTTTGTAAGGAAGGATCACACTAGCTGCCTGTACTTCACGTGGATTTTGATAGGTTAGGGTAGCAAGGCATAGGATGAAGCAATTTACCACTGAAACGAATATGACACTTTCTAGGAGCGTGTTAACGTCGAATATTATGTTGTACAGTATCGCAAACTTGGACCTCATTCTACCAGGCAGCATAAATATTTCACCTCGCGATCAACACTGATAACCTCTATGCTTGTTTCCGCCCATTGATTGACAATTCTAATTGCTGCCCATTGTCTTGTTTATACAGACTTGAACTGGTGTATCCGTACATAAGTAATGCACCAATTAAAGCAATTATTGTTGAATAACTTGGGCTACCCCTGTGAAATCATTCCGTTATTCGATATTCATAAAAAGTAGTTTTTAAAGAAATGAGCTAATTTTTAAAATCCCAGATGTCAATAGAACAATAGAGGAAGTAACCTTAAATATTTGTGTTAAACTAAAATTGAAAATATTTATCCAAAAATATTTTAATTACCGAGCCTTATTTTGATCAACATAACAGTTTAATTCTTCCGAAATATTTAACAGATGTCGTGTTGCAAATATTTTTCATTGCGAAAATTAATTATTTCTACATGCGTATATAGAGGATAATATTGAATGATTGTAGATTTAATACATGTACTAAATTTATTGAAAGAGTTGAATATAATTTATTCAACGAGTTCAATAATTTTAGTATTGAATCTACACGATTTTAGATTTATATTCTATTTATCACATATCTAAAATAAGAACGGTTTACAGTTAAAAAGGGTCAATTTTCGTTGACGCGCCAATAGTGTAACGCTTAGTTTAGCGCGCTTTAACGCTATATGTTTGTTTATAACGCAAATGACGTCATGTCAAAGTAAAAAAAACAACATAAAAAAACCCAACAACAACTAAATGTCTGTGGTGGTTTGTCTGTTTATGTCATGTCAAAGTGTCATTGTAGTTTTGGTGTCCTGTTCTAGTTTCCAAAATCTACTAATTGGAGACTTAGCTGAAATATGTACTAATTTCTGATTCTTAAAATGCCTTAAATTAAAAATATCATTCTTTTTACTAGTATTTAAGCTTACATGATGTATTTTACATACCGTTTTCACCGGCACAAGTATTATCATTTATGTTATCAATTTCATTGCTTTCTAAGGCTTCGTTTTTTGGACAAATTTCTTTTTAATTTATGTACCGGTATGTATAGTGTATGTGCTAAATTTGTTATGTTATGCCCCATACATGTCGTGCTTGTAAAATTTAGTCCAGTGTCGTTTCTAAATGCGTTTTTCACTGTAGATCTGCGGTGTTTCTACCTGTTGTCCAATGTTTACAATATTCTTGTTTGTTTATGTTGTCCCGTGTATGTATGTGTTTTCTATATCAATAGACCCTATACATACGAGTATGTGTTGCCCCACGCATGTCTATATAAATTGCTGTTCTGAGCAAGTCTGGTGTGTTCATACATGCGTTGTTCCATGCAAGTTTTCTGTCTGACTTGTTCCATGAATGTCTACGTTGTTTTTATGCAATGTATGGTTCGTCCGGGTGTGTTATCTAGTATATATCAGGGTTGTTCGCCTGTGTTGATTCCTATGTGTGTGTGCGTGCGTGTGTGTGTGTGTCAACCTGTGTCTCTCTAGATATTAAGTTTCTGTCGTTTTTTCTTCTTCTGGTGTGTGTTTCCATATGTTAACGTTGTTTCTATGTGCCACATCAAATATTAACAAGTCCGAGGGCTGTGTAATCACGTGAGTGCAAGATTTTTATTTTTATTTTGCCCTGAGAATGTCATATATGTTTGTCCAGTCCATGTTGTCACTTTATTTTTTTAAAACATTTTCGTGTGTGCCATGAGTTGTGTCTGCTGTAGAATTTACATTCGCCTAAATGATACCATATAATTATTCAGCCTACTACACGGACGTCTGATTTTGCAACACCCTGGTACATTTATTTAATGAAACTTTTATGAGTCGATAAATTAAAAATTGATCAGTTTAATTTAAACATAATTATTTATTTTCAATACTTTACAAATATACATTTTCATGTACATACTTAAGCAATCAGCCAACATTAAGTAGATAAAAGGATATAATCTTGAATGAAAGACAAGTCTTATAGAATTCTTCTCCAAATGAGGATGATAATATCATTGGCAAGAGAATAACAGTTTTAATGACAAAATGATAGAATACAATAACAATTTTGTACAGAAAAAATATCAGAATGAAAGATATTATATAAACAACATATAGATGAAAAGTAAAGAAAATCACATAGCTATATTTCCGTATATAAAATTATGTCTCTAGCTTAGAAAATATAATAAATAAAATTTATAATTTATATATTGATTTCATAACATCTAAGAACACTGAACCTTTCGTTTAAGAATAGAAATGACTAAATTATACAGTTAATGACCCAAGAATGCCAACTAATACTTTGTCATTATAAAATACCGTAAACAATGATGACGGCACAATGTGCAGACTTTAACAAAATATTATATCCAATGGGCATGCGCGGCGTGCTTGGACATGAAAATGTAAATAAACAACGGTTAGCGAATGACAAAAATTGTAATTTTGTCGTCCATGGTTGTCTCATACTGTCATTTTGGTAACGTTTCAAAATATTTTCTAGTAATTAGTCTAACCAATGTTTATATGATTTATATTTATCTAGCTTTCATTGTTAAATTAGCATAGGCCATATCGTACCAGGATTTGTGCAAAGAATTTTCGTACCAATTGCACACAAACTTACTCTTTTTACTTACTATTTAATGGATATAATATTTATTTCTTATTACCTTCCACTGTATTAATGAAAATTATCAATGTAAGATTGTATTTTATACTTTACTCTTATTTTTTTAGACATTTAGCAGGTCTAGGATAAAGTATAGTTAGAAAAAAAGGTTATTTATTTGTCTTGCAGATTCGATAAAATTAATATATATAATAAAAATGTGTTTCCTTCGATGCACTTTGTTTGTAAAGTTATTTTCAAAAAAATATGAAACAAAAACCTGTTTACTTAATAGAATAAGCTTCTAATTAATTGCAGGTGGTCACTAATCAAATTTGAATGAATGAGTCAATCATAATTATCACCTAATTAATCGGTATCACATTGATTGATAATAATAGCCCGTGACAATAGGAGTCCTTTGATGTCTTTTACACATTTTTAAAAGTGGGCCGAGTTCACCCATGCCAAGTTGGAATAGGGCCAAGCTGATTGGGGGCCGAGTATGTTTTAGGGCCGAGCTGACCCGAATTCATGATTTAGTGTTGGAGTTATCTCTCAAACTGTTTATGAGATAGGCTTTATTTTTTTCTGATGACTGATATTTTTTGGAAAATTTGAGAATTGAAAGTCATCAAATTGTTCTGAAACTTTATTTAAAAAAAACACGCAACTTATCATATTATCAGTAACCTTAGTCATTTTAGCTGTTTAAAACATCTTAAGCTTGATGCTTTTTATATTTTTGCAACAACTTTTTTGTTACTCCTTTTGAAAATACAAAAGAACTGAGGAACATGGCCTTGGAAAATCTCACGAAAGATGTGAACTTGCCGGATCACATATTTTAAGCCTAGATTCCACTCCATTAAAATAATTGCTCTGTGCTGACAGCTACTGGTCAGGGACCACCAAAACCAGACAACCATCAAACCCGGACAGCCCCGGAAATGCCTGATTTTTTTTTTCTTTGTTCAATGGTTGTCAATCAGTCATTGGCCTTGTTATCAACAATAAATGCATGTATCTTAAGTTCTATACTTAAGTAATTAAATTTATTTCAACTGACGTAAATGGTAATATTTTAATGTCTATTTCAAGAATGTTGATGTCAAATATTTTGACGTCAAAAGTGAATGACCTGACCTCTTATACTAGCTATAAACATCTGCAGAGTAAACAATAATTTATCCTTATTCAGCATTTGCTGCTGAAATATTGTATATCATGTTAAAAATAAGAAATTAAAACAACCCAGCTTTTATTTGGACATGAAATATCTGTCTAGACACATGGTACTGTAGTGTGGACAAATTAGGTAATTCTTAAACTGTCATTGACAGGACTCAAATTATGTGTCAACATAATCAGAAATAAACAAACTAGTTCATTAGTTGGGAGAATAACCTAGCTAGAGTGTGTCAAATTTTTAGATCTCTAGCTTTATTAAAGTAAAAAAAATGCATGGAAAAATGTTCAAAATGTGTACAGTTGATGGTCCCCCACCAGTATGCTTTAAACATTGTCTTGATTTTTTGTAGATTAATTTTACTCATCTGAAGGCATACCGCTTAAAGATAATAATTGGTGCACAGTGCACTTATTTGTACTCTAATTACAATATGGCATGTTCACTTGAATTTGACATTGGCATTTAGTCAAATTTGCAATTAAATCACAATTTGCACAATGTCTTTTTTTCTGCACAAAAGGATTTTCTCAGTTATTAGTCCCCTACCGGTTTACCGGAGGGGACTTTAGGTTTACCCTCCGTCCGTCTGTCTGTCCTTCCGTCAGTCCGTCCGTCCGCAGAATTGGATCCCGCGATAACTTGAAAAGTACTGCAAATATTTTTATGAAACTTGATATATGGATAGATGGCAGTATGGAGATTATGCACGTTTTTTTCTTTTCTTCCTTAGTTGAAAATTCTGGTTGCTATGGCAACAAATAGACTGAAAATATGGCAAATTTTACAAATAAACTGGATCCAGTGTTAACGCAAAAAGTAATAGAAATATTTTTATGAAACTTGTAATATGGGTAGATGGCAGTCTGGAGATTATGCACATCTTTTTCTTTTCTTCCTATGTTGAAAATTCTGGTTGCTATGGCAACACATAGACTGAAAATATGGCAAATTTTTATCCAGTGATAACTCAAAAAGTACTGGAAATATTTTTATGAAACTTGACATATGGGTAGATGGCAGTCTGGATATTATGCATGTCTTATCTTTTCTTCCTATTTTGAAAAAATATTGGTTGCCTTGGCTACAAATAGGCTTAAAACATGGCAAATATAACAATATTTGTGATTAGTCAAAAAGAGCTGAACATTTTTATGAAATTGCATCTTTAATTCAAGAGTTATCTCCTCTTTGAGAGTTTTGCTTTTAAAAATGTTATATTTTGGTAACAGGGTTGTTTCAAATATTAACTTTAGAGTGTCCTTCAGTCCGTCTGTTCATAAAAACTGTTTCCTTTGATCACTTTTAAAGAACTTTTCCAACAATGTTACTTAAAATAGTGAAAAATTGAAACATTAGTGAATTGCCAATGGCCCTTCAGAATGTTGATAGGGTTCTAACCAGTAGGGGACTTATGGATTGCTTGCAATACTATGATAATTGCTTGTCAATAATAATCTGGCGAAACATAGTTAAAATTTACAAGTTCTAGAAAATCGTCTACCCTGTCTGTTATGTTTATAATATTATGTGAACATTGATGATGTCATTTTCGAAACAATTATGATGTCACTTCATTAATTTGGTACTTAACTATTGGCTACTTAATTTGTTTGTAATTGAAAAAGAAATAAATTTTTTTATAAATGTTATTATGATTTGAGACTTGCAAAAACATGAGGTAACACTTTGGCTGCATGCAATCCATGTTAATTTCATCTAATTTTTGTTTGGTAAACTTTATATAACGTCATTATGATGTCATAACGTCATGACGTCATCAACTTACTTAGCAACGTCAGTATTGTTATAATCAAGTTACTTTGTTGATTGTGATCACACATTAAAGTGAAATATATTTATTTGGTGTTGCCATTAGCATTAATCAGGTGTTGGATTTAACTTAATCATTAATTGTTTAGTCAGCATTACTCAGATTGAAAATATGTTCTAGTTGATGACTGTCTCTTTTATTGTGTCATTGTTGTATTAATTGGTATTTTAGATGATGATTAACTGGGACAAGAAGGATGAACGTAATGGATGACACATTGGCCGATGAATCGGGTAAGTAATTTCAAATAATTTATCCGTGGGTGTTTGAGGTATTTTCAAATTATATTGTGACTGGTGGTAATTATTGTAATCCATTATTCAACTCGTAGAATTTTATTTTATTGCCCTGAGGCTTATTAAATTAAAGAGTCGACACAGGTGGAAAAGAAATCATTGATATATGAGTTGGGGTGAAATATTTTTTTTTGCCATTTGTGTAGTAGATTTTCCCTGCATTGATAAGGTACTGTCCATTGTTATTTAGGGGATATAATTATGTATGGACATACATGCTGGCCTGAATGGAGGGACATACATGCTGGTCTGACTGCAGTGGCATATAGGCTGGCCTGATAACAGGGACATAAAGGCTGGCCTGACAGCAGGGACATATAAGTTGGCCTGACTGCATGGACATACAATACAGGCTGACCTGACTACAGGGACATACAGGCTGACCTGACTGCAGGGACATATAGACTGGCCTAACTGCAGGGACATATAGGCTGGGCTGACTGCAGTGACATATAGGCTGGCCTGACTGCAGGGGCATATTGGCTCGCCTGACTGCAGGGACATATAGACTGGCTGACTACAGTGGCATATAGGCTGGTCTGATAACAGGGATATAAAGGCTGGCCTGACAGCAGGGACATATATGCTGGGCTGACTACAGTGGCATATAGGCTGGTCTGATAACAGGGATATAAAGGCTGGCCTGACAGCAGTGACATATAAGCTGGCCTGACTGCAGGGACATATAAGCTGGCCTGACTGCAGGGATATATAGGGTGCCTGACTGCAGGGACATACAGGCTGGCCTGACTGCAGGGACATACATGCTGGCCTGACTGCAGGGACATATAGGCTGGCCTGACTGCAGGGACATAGGCCAGTCTGACTGCAGGGTCATACAGGCTGGCCTGACTACAGGGACATATAGGCTTGCCTGACTGCAGGGACATATAGGCTGCCTGACTGCAGTGACATATAAGTTGGCTTGACTGCAGGGACATACATGCTGGCCTGACTGCAGGGACATACAGGCTGGCCTGACTGCAGGGACATACATGCTGGCCTTACTGCAGGGACATACAGGCTGGCCTGACTGTGCAGACATATAGACTGACCTGACTGCAGGGACATACAGGCTGGCCTGACTGCAAGGGACATACAAACTGCCCTGACTGTAGGGACATATTGGCTGGCCTGACTGCAGGGACATATTGACTGGGCTGACTGCAGTGGCATAAAGGCTTGGCTGACTGCAGGGACATATAGGCTGGGCTGACTGCAGGGACATATAGGCTGGGCTGACTGCATGGACATACAGGCTGGGCTGACTGCAGGGACATACAAACTGCCCTGACTGTGCAGACATAGGCTTACCTGAATACACAGATATAGGCTGGCCTGACTACATGGACATATAAACTGGCTGACTTTAAACTATTGAGATAGATGGGATGTTATCTGTGCTAACATTCAATAAAAGGGTTAATCACCTAATTGATTTTTTCCTCACTTTTATTCTCATTATTTGTCAGACAGACTCATTGCGTCATACTGTGACAGACTTATTATATCATCATAAACACATTAACACTTGTAAACCTCTATAACATATTCACCTTTAGATGGAAACATGATTGCAATATAATTTGTCACCTAATTTATTCAAGTGTCATGAGGTGAATCACTTTTATGTAATAGATTAAAACAAGATCAGTTCAGATATTCCAGATCTGTTTAGATATTCGTCATTATTTTATTGTCAATATTGGTCTTCAGTGAGTCATTTATGTAATGAAAAAATGCAGGAGTGGAGAAAAATATCACTGATTTAATTGCGCACAGTAAGATGATTTTTATAGTGGTAAAGACAAAATATGTCACGATGTCAGATAAACAGTTCAATACTCTACTGATAGCTCTTAAATGTTTTTATTTTAAAAAATGTTAATTAATTTTAGATTCATTAACAGTAATAACTTTACAAATATAACGGGATGAAATGAGATGCAAGAGATGTAAAACCTTAACTTATTTGGCTAGCAAGTTGGGCCTAGTATAGGTTAATTCAAAGTTATTTGAAAAAAAATATTTTTAATAAAAAAAAAGAGAAGAAATGTATTTGACATTTAATAGTCATTCTAAAACAGAAATTTACACATGATATAAAGTTATAAATTGATTTGTTTGTAGAAGGTTCACAAAACCTGAAATGATGCTCAAAGACCTGTGGTATTCATCCATCAGGAAAGTCATCATATGACCTTAACAATGTTGGTGTGACTTATAACCCAAGCTATCACATTGTCTACTAGTTGATTTGTCGCCTTGTACTTGTATATTATAACATTGCTATATTTTACTGTAGCATACTACATTCTTATACAATGTATTTTACTGTATAATGTAATATTCCTATATTTTCAGGTATACCGTTTCTATCCAATACAGATGATATACCTGTGCATAGTACCCCTATAAAGGTAGGAATTTTATTTTCAACACATACCTGTGCCGCTTTTGCGACTCTGTAAAAAAAATATTGCACTGCCGTGCATATTTTTTGATGTAATGTCATTTGCGTTATTGAATATAGTGTAAAGATGCTCTGAATGTTAGCATTACACAAAAGGCGTGTCATTGAAAAATGATTCTTTTTAAATTTAAACACTTTATTTTTGGTATGTATTAAATAGATACTTGTGTTGGTTCATAACTGAATTTATCACACACCCGTGCCGATTTTGCGACTCCGTAAATATGGTATTGCACGGCCGTGCATATATTTTGACGTGACGTCATTAGCATTATACAAACATAGTGTTAAGACGCGCTAAATGTTTGCGTTATTCTATAGGCGCGTCAATGAAAAATGACTCTTTTTTCACTTTCAACGGTCTTTATTTTGGGTAATTGTGATCAATAAAATATTAAATTCGTGTAAGTTCATTAACTGAATTTAATAAAATTATATTATGCTTGCCAGAGGCTCGCATAATATAATTTTATTCAACTCATGCAATAAATTCAGTATTGAACTTACACTCATTCAATATCCTCTATTTATTGAACTTGTTCAATAAATTAATATTATGCTCGCCATAATTACTCACATAATATAATTTTATTCAACTTGTTCAATAAATTCATTGTTGAACTAACACTCATTCAATATCCTCTATTTATACTGGTTAAAACTGTTTCAATGCTGAAACCAAAACTCTAAACTATTTGTCACCAGTATGCAGCCAGGTCAGCCTACATATCCATGCAGTGTGACCAGTCTCTGTACCGTTGAAAATGCTTGAAGTTTTTTGTATTTTGTTAATGAAATTCCTTTACAAGTATTCATGGATTGTTCCAAATTTTGTAAAAACTAGGTTTTTGTGACCATTGTTAAATTCCATCTGATTTTTAGCTCGACTTTTCTATGAAAAGGGGAGCTATCCTACTCGCCCCGGCGTCGGCGTCGGCGTTAGCGTTAGCGTTAGCGTTAGCGTTGGCGTCACACCTTGGTTAAGTTTTTCGTACCACCCCACTTTATTTCAGAAGTATTACAAGTATGGCTTTGAAACTTACCATACTTGTTCACCATCATAACCTCCATCTACAGACAAGAGTACATAACTCTGTCAAGGTTTTTGACAGAATTATGGCCCTTTTTTGACTTAGAAAGTGTATTGAGCTTGGTTAAGTTTTTTGTACCACCTCACTTTATTTCAAACCATTGGAGGTATTGCTTTGAAACTGACCATACTTGTTTACCATCACGACCTTCATCAACAGACAAGAGGACATAACTCTGTCAAGGTTTTTGACAGAATTATGCCCTTTTTGACTTAGAAAATACATTGAATATGGGTAAAATCCACTTATTGCCTTAACCCTTTGAGATATTGCTTTTGAAACTTTTAATGCTATTTCACATCATTACCCCCATCTGTACGCAAGAGAAGGTAACTCTGTCAAGGATTTGTTTTAAAAATTAAGGCCTTTTATCGACTTAGAATCTTGGTTAAGTTTTTTGTACCACCTCACTTTATTTCAAAACCATTGGAGGTATTGCTTTGAAACTGACCATACTTGTTTACCATCACGACCTTCATCAACAGACAAGAGGACATAACTCTGTCAAGGTTTTTGACAGAATTATGCCCCTTTTTGACTTAGAAAATACATTGAATATGGGTAAAATCCACTTATTGCCTTAACCCTTTGAGATATTGCTTTGAAACTTTTAATGCTATTTCACATCATTACCCCCATCTGTACGCAAGAGAAGGTAACTCTGTCAAGGATTTGTTTTAAAAATTAAGGCCTTTTATCGACTTAGAATCTTGGTTAAGTTTTTGTACCACCTCACTTTATTTCAAAACCATTGGAGGTATTGCTTTGAAACTGACCATACTTGTTTACCATCACGACCTTCATCAACAGACAAGAGGACATAACTCTGTCAAGGTTTTTGACAGAATTATGCCCCTTTTTGACTTAGAAAATACATTGAATATGGGTAAAATCCACTTATTGCCTTAACCCTTTGAGATATTGCTTTGAAACTTTTAATGCTTTTTCACATCATTACCCCCATCTGTACGCAAGAGAAGGTAACTCTGTCAAGGATTTGTTTTAAAAAATTAAGGCCTTTTATCGACTTAGAATCTTGGTTAAGTTTTTAGTACCAGTCCACTTTTTGACTGAACTGTTTGAGATATTAATTTGAAAGTTGGAATACTTGTTTACAATCATGATTCCCAAACATGTCCAGGAGAAGGTAATTCTGTCAAAGATTTTATTTGAATTATGGCCCTAAACTGTCAATGTTTTGTATTATAGGCAAGCACTAAAAAAGTCGAGCGCGCTGTCTTACGGACAGCTCTTGTTATTTGGTAAACTTTATATAACGTCATTATGATGTCATAACGTCATTATGACGTCATAACGTCATGACGTCATCAACTTCCTTAGCAACGTGGGTATTGGAATAATCAAGTTACTATGTTCATTGTGATCATACATTAAAGTGAAATATATTTATTTGGTGTTGGCGTTAGCATTAATCAGGTAATGGATTTAACTTAACAACCATTTCCTTAGTATTTTATTAAAATTTATGTCATTCAATGTCATATTCTCTCCTACATACAGTATAGCCCAACAAATTGTTCGCTTTAGGGCTTTTTATTATATAGACGATGGTCGCCCTCATGTAAAGACAGACATCTTTGAAATATCAGATTGTAAAAATCGGTCAGTCTTGAAGTCGAAATATTGAGACTACATACATTGAAACTTCATTAAATGTAATGACATCAACAAGATGTCTGTTTATCTATGATTTATATAAATAACTTTTTTGTATTTAAATTAAGCTTCACTACAGAGAATCATGTATTAATACAATAATTGGCTGCATTATTTCAGTAATTTACTTTTAAAGCACACTTTATAAATAATTTTACTTCTAAATGAGATTTAATCTATTTTACCCAGCTAATAATATAGACTGTAGCAGGATAAAAATCAATTAAATTGTTGTTGCCAAGATTGAGAAGGTTTATCTGGTTTGCTGCGAAAGAAAATCTTGGTTCGCTAAAGCTTGCCATGATACACTTTCTCGCTGACCGGATAAACCTTCTCCATTCTGACATCAACCATGTATTTTCTATATCACTTGTATATCCTCATTTATATACGATATATAGGGTACCAAGATTCCTCTTCCCTCCACAAAAGATGTCATGAAGCAGCTTCTAAATAGACCAGGCAGGTACGAGGAATACACTGATGCTGAGAGCTTACAGTCCATCAGACATTCTGACATTCACCTTCAAGCTAATGGTCAAGCAAGTGCACAGAAAGGTCAAGGTCAAAATAGAGCACTCACTGAAGATCGAAATTTTGTAAGAAAGAGTAATGATTACAGAAATGAAGTCAGGAATTCTGTCAGAAACACACAGGACCTTTCAGATATTGATAATTTGAGGCATAAAACCAGAAATTATGCTGACATTCGAGCGATTCAGCCTGAAAGGTCAAGGTCACCAACTCACAATAAATTAAGTGCCTCGTCAGAACTCGGAGATGTATTCAAAAGGCTAAAAGACGTGCCAACAAGGTACAGATATTCTGCTGAAGAACGGAAGAGAAGTAGTCCGGTAAATAATGATAAAACATTAGAACAGAGTGACATAAAAAGCTCACAGTCGAGATTTAGATCTGACCGGTCATCTGGTGATGACAGAAACACAAATGCGTATTCAAGCAGTAAAAATAGGTCGAAATATTTATCCATGGATGCACCGGACAGCAAAACGGATTCAGCGGAAAGTGGGTACAGACATAAGAAAGAATATACAACAGAAAGAAAGGAGAATGATAAAAGAGATAATGGTCAAACATCAAAACAAGATGAAATGAGAAGTGAAGGTAGTGATAGATTTGTAGAAAGGACAGATCCTAGTAGTGATAGGAAAAGATTTACCGTCAGTAGTGGTGCACGACAGAACACGAACAACACCACACCTTACAGCCGTTCTTTATTAAACAGTATTCAGGTGAGAGATTGATATGTTATTAAATCATAGCATTCATACGAGCTTTACTTTTGATTGTTTCCATTCTTTAAAGTACATTTTATGCTTGATATTTTATGTAAAACTCAGTTGCAACCCCAGCACCCCTTCCGTCCCATCATCTTATGGAAATAGCAGGGGAAAAAAGCCAGGTTTTAACTTTTGTTAGTCCCTATGACTACAAAATCAATTTTGTTCAACCAAAATAGAAGGAGAGATATTCCCGCTTAAAATGAGGTGGTGGAGGCACAGAGCCTGAGGATTGATGGTTTTACCAAGGTCCTGTTTGTACCTAGCTTAATGCACTGAAGGCTCATAGGCTCTTCCTTTTACAATCATTCAGAAAGTCACGATGCATGACATTATAAATAAACCATGCACGACATATTTATTTAACAGAACACAAGTTTATCAGAGTTAGAGAACACGACGTTAAATAAACAGCGTCAAGAGATTAAGTTGTTGATGGGCGAACTAAAGGACCGTGACCGTGAACTTAGTGACATGATGACATCACATCAACAACAACTGGTTGCTTGGCAACAAGACAGGGACAGACTGGTTATGTTGGAGAGAAAATGTATACAGCATGAAGGTATGTGTTTCAATTTGATGGACCCAATGTATACATATATTACCGTGAACATATATTTTGGTAAATTTAAGACAGTTTAGAATTATAAGGCCAATACAGAGTACTGTTGTTTGTTATATTTTACAATTTTAGACTGGCATTGAGTTAAGTGTGCCATTTTCTTTACCTGCTTTGAAGGTAATGTGTGGAAGAGTATCTAAAAAAAATGTTTTTATGCCTCAAACTAAGCACAGAGATAGGTGCTGTATTTTATGGAAAAAGTTATAATTATGTACATTTTGTAACATATCTTTATAAGCATCAATGTTATGGCGAATTTCACTGCAATCAATCAGTACTGCTTTATTATTCTGGGCTGTCAACATATATTTTATTCATGAAATATTGTATATTCAAATACATTTTGTATATATATTTTAATATAAAACCTTCCCTCATACTTTTATAATGTATAAAATATATAATATATATAACCTGGTAGATTTTGAGATTTGATACATGTAGTTTTTTTTAGGTTTGAAACTTTTCACCCTGCATTTCACAGATAGCTTATGAAGTTCAAAATTAGCACTTATTTTGAAATTATATAACTATAAAATCATTATTGTTCATGGGGCACTAACATTCATGGTTTTTATGCTCCCCGAAAAATTTCGGGGGAGCATATAGTCGGCGCCTTGTCCGTCTGTCCGTCTGTCCATCTGTCCGTCCGCACTACCGAATAGGGTTAGAGGGCCATCTAACTGTAAACAGAACAAAAGAGAACAATAGAGTTCATTCCGTAACAATAGAGTAAGGGGCCATTGGCCCTCTGTTAAACAATAGAAAATAACAATAGAAATGGCCCCTTATTCCAATTAGGCCGGACGTCCGTCCGTCTGTCCGTCCGTTGTCTTGTCCGGAGCATAACTTGAAAACCCTTGGAGATAATTTGTTGAAACTTCATACAGTGGTAGAGGGCATCGAGGGGGAGTGCAGTGTCAAAGAACCATAACTCTATTTTGCCCGGTTTTTGAATTATCTCCCCTTATAGAAAAATCTTGTCCGGGGCATAACTCTAAAACTATAAGAGATATCAACATGAAACTTTGTAGGTGAATAGATCTCAATGGGTAGATGTGCAGTGCATAAGAACAATTACTCTTTTTTCCTAATTTTGGAGTTATTGCCCTTTGTTAATTTTAATACTTTGAACTTTGTCCGGAACATAACTTGAAAACCCTTGGAGATAATTTGTTGAAACTTCATACAGTGGTAGAGGGCATCGAGGGGGAATGCAGTGTCAAAGAACCATAACTCTATTTTACCCAGTTTTTGAATTACCTCCCCTTGTAGAAAAATCTTGTCCGGGGCATAACTCTAAAACTATAAGAGATATCAACATGAAACTTTGTAGGTGAATAGATCTCAATGGATAGATGTGCAGTGCAACAGAACCATAACTCTGTTAAGCCTTATTTTTGAATAATCTCCCCTTTTAGAAAAATCTTGTCCAGGACATAGCTGTAAAACTATAAGAGATATCAACATGAAACTTTGTAGGTAGATAAATCTCAATGGGTAGATGTGCAGTGCAAAAGAATCATAACTCTACCTTGCCTAATTCTGGAGTTATTGCCCTTTGTTTATTTTTACTTTTTGAATTGTCCAGGACATCATAAGAGATATCATCAAGAAACTTTGTAAGTTGATAGATCACATTGATTAGAAGTGCAGTGCAAAAAACTGTAACAGCCTTGCCTAATTTTGGAATTATTGCACTTTGAACTTTTTCCACGGACATAACTCTGAAACTACAAGAGGTGTACTTTCCTGTGTCCAAAACCTATTCGGGGAGCATCACCCGGCTCAAACCGGGCTCTTGTTTTTTAGATATGTCAATCCACAAATTTAAGATCCAATGAAATTTCATTTTATTTGCTGTAAGATTAAGTTGCATCACATTATTTACATTTTACTTTTTCGGAAAAAATAAATAGTCCATGAATATAAATACCCATGAAAATGTTCTTTGTGACAAAACCACAAAATTTCATATCCTTGAAATAAAGTGGATTCACAGTAAACGTTTTTGGTGTTTGGTAGACATTAGCTTATCTTTCACAGCTGAATATAAAGATTTTATTATGGATCATAAGATATATTAAAAATAATTATGTTAATAGTTGTAGTTTTTTGGTGAAAGTCTGGTATATGGCTAAAATAATGTGAGCTGCGTTGCAGTCACCCTTCACTTGCCGTAAGCTGCTTTAGGTTTGAATCTTGCAATGAAGGGGGTTTTGAATTTGAGGGTGCTATTCAGCTGGCATTTAAGGTAGATAGATGAGGGTCTCTACTTAATTGCCCACTTACCCCCAAGTCCCTTGAAATAATTACCGTATCAGTAAAATCTGGCATGTTGTCATTTGACCTTGCATGTTGTCATTTGACCTTGCATGTTGTCATTTGACCTTGCATTTTGTCATTTGACCTTGCATGTTGTCATTTGACCTTGAATGTTGTCATTTGACCATGAATGATGTCATTTGGCCTTGCATGTTGTCATTTGACCTTGCATGTTGTCATTTGACCTTGCATATTGTCATTTGACCCTTATAATGTAACTTAAAGTTGTTCAAGAAAAGATAATGATGCACTATTGATGTCATAGTTTTAAAAAGGTTTTAATTTCAAGCCTTTAGCTTCATCATTTCTGTAACTTTAAACAAACTAGAATAAAGATGATTCAGTGCTTGAAGATAGTATTTGATGTGTTTTCATTGTCATTAGTGAATGATAGATTTATACTATTTGTGTTTGCAGACAGATATGGTAAATTTGTAGTTATAGATTTAATAATTTTCTATCTCTTTTTTTAAATTTTAGATAGCAAACAAATCTTAATTCTTTTCAATTAGATGTTTAATCTTGTAGATGTGACTTTCTTCTTTTCAAACCTTTTCTGCCTTTATACTTTATCTACTGGAACATGTATTTCATGTTTTTAGTTTCTTCATGCTTAAAATGAGTGTCAATCTGTCCTTTCAGACACTAAGAGTACCGGTTCTGTCCATTTATAAACTTTGTCAAATATTAGTCTGAATTTTGTATAATTAATATATATTCTAAAAAAAACAACAACAAAAAAACAATGATAGAACATCATTTGGTTTACTTAGAAGTGCTCTCTTTAAGTCATAAAAATCACCTCTTGTAAACTTAAGATTGCTAGCTTCTTTTGCCTAAATATGATGAAAATAAAATAAATAGAGAAAATTTGTTTAGTTCAGTGTAAGATCGGAATATATTTCATCGAGTGAGCGCCAAAAGGTTTATTTCACTAGTGGCTCAGCCACGAATGAAATAATAACTTTTGGTGTTCACAAGGTGAAATATATTTCTTTATTTCATGCTTTCTATTGTTTTATTACAATATATCAGATGATTATATTCTGATAAACCACTAGTGTTTGAAACAGTGAAATTACCACTTTGATAATTTCACTGTTTTGAATTTAAGCCCCTTACGTTGTTTCAGTGAAAAAAGAGCGTGCACAGTACTGGGTACCAACTTAATGACGTGACGTCGTAAATGACGTCACGTTGTATTATTATTTGGCGCGCTTTTCATTCAGTATTAGGTTTAATGTCTTTTTAAAACGTGGCTGCGCCACTCGTGAAATATACCTTTTGGTGCTCACTCGGTGAAATATATTTCGATCTTACACTAAACTTAACAAATTTTCTTTTTATTATATGCAAAGAAACGTTTTAAAAAGACATTAAACCTAATAATGAATGAAAAGCGCGCCATATAATAATACAACGTGACGTCATTTACGACGTCACGTCATTAAGTTGGTACCCAGTTCTGTGCACGCTGGTATTACACTGAAACAACGTAAGGGGCTTAAATTCAAAACAGTGAAATTATCAAAGTGGTAATTTCACTGTTTCAAACAGTGAAATTACCAGTTTTATATCACTGATATATTTCTATAAACCACCGAAAAGCATGTAATAAATTCTGATAAACCACTAGTGAAATTTATAAAATATAATTTTCACTGTAGCGGGACTATATCTGAATGCAGATGAAAAGAAAATCATAACCAAATGGAATAACAGGCAGAAATCAGTAAAAAAAAATACTTAAAATAACTTAAAAAGTATAAAATAAAAAGAAAATTTATTTGTTTTACATATAAGATTGAAATATATTTCATTCGTGAACACCAGCTATAATATTTTCACTCGTGGCTACGCCACTCGTGAAAATATTGCATCTGGTGTTCACTCAGTGAAATTATATTTCAATCTTACATGCAAAACAAACAAATATCCTCTATTTATTTCATGCTTTTCGGTGGTTTATAGAAATATATCAGTGATATAAAACTGGTGATTTCACTGTTTGAAACAGTGAAATTACTACTTCGATAATTTCACTGTTGAATTTAAGCCCCTTACGTTGTTTCAGTGAAATACAAGCATGCACTTAATGACGTGATGTCGTAAATGACGTCACGTATTTTGTCGTTGTATTATTATTTGGAGCGCTTTTCATTCAGTATTAGGTTTAATGTCTTTTTAAAATGTTTCTTTGCATATACAATGTAATTAAAAGAAAATTTGTTTAGTTTAGTGTAAGATCGAAATATATTTCACCTTGTGAACACCAAATGTTCATATTTCACTTGTGATATATTCCGATCTTACACTGAACTAAACAAATATCCTCTATATCTTACACTAAACTAAACAAATTTTCTTTATATTATATGCAAAGAAATGTTTAAAAAGACATTTATCCTAATATTAAATAAAAAGCGCGCCAAATAATAATACATTGTGACGTCAGTTACGACGTCACATCATCAAGTTGGTTCCCAGTACTGTGCCCAGTAATATGCACACTGGTATTCACTGAAACAATGAAATGGACAGTGAAAAATATCAAATTGATAATTTCACTGTTTCAAACAGTGAAATATCAGTTGTATATTTCACTGTTATATTTCTATGAACCACCGAAAAGTTTGTAATAAAAAAATCTTTAAAATCACTGGGGATTACTTTACTGCTAACTTCTCTCAAATTTTCTCTTGTTTCTGTAATGTAGATTACCATATTGAATATCTTAGATTATAGAAAAACAAAACAACTGCATGATTTTAGTGTAACACTTTAGTGCAATCAAATAGAAAAATGTATCCCTTAATAACTAAAGAAAAACAGCAAAACAGAAAATGGTACAGGTTTGATTGAGCATGTTCATGGACAGTATTGGTAATTGCAAATTGCCATCTACGCCACCTAGCAACATCAACAATGATTATGTTCAAATCTTTATGTGAATTGTGAATCTATATTAATTAAGTGATATTTAAAGATTTATCAACTTATATATAGAAATGTTCAGACAGCTCTCTATAGGCAGGGTATTGTAATATCTGCTCATGCTATAGATGTTATTTACTTTTAGATATGCTTGAAATTTCTTGCATTTTTTTTTCTCAATTTGTTTTACAGTTTTACATATTTTGTAAGTAATGTAGTTATATTGTCTGTCAATTGAAAAGCTTTGATTTTATCAGGTTCTTTCTTCTGTGGTTCGTTTTTTACATTATACAAAGATGGTTGAGCGATTATATTTAATTTAATTTTTTGTAAACAGTAACTTAGATTTTTACATAGACTTTATTTTCAAGTTTTTATCTCAGATTTGAACATTGCAAAAGTCAGGACAAATTTCTGTCACTTTAGTGCAATAACTGGTCAACTAATATTAGATGTAGAGAGACTTATCACATTACTGCACTAAGGTGACAAACCTGTTTAACTTGTAAATATGCAACTAGGTTGTACAGTACTAAATCATGTTATCAATAAAACATTACTAACATTTTGCTCCTGCGATAATTATAGGATAGGGTAGCGTATTGTAACATACTGTTTCTTATAAATATTTCACCAGATATTTCATCTTGGGCACCTTGCTTGGCCTCCTTGGCGGAATGGTTAAGGTGGCCAACTTCAAATCACTTGCCCTTTACCGTTGTGGGTTCTGATCCCTTCAGGAACATGGGATTCTTTCCTGTGATGAAGCTATCCAGCTAGCTTACAGAAGGTCAGTTGTTCTACTCCGATGCCTGCTTAGTCCTGAAATAATGCACAAAGGCATCTGAGGTCTTCACCCAGCTGTAAAGCTGGAAAGTTGTCGTAATGACCTTTAAAGTGTCAGTGTGACTTGAAATTCAACAGACAAACAAAGAATTGACCCATTTCGATGGAGTTAGATCACTGAAGTTGCACATTGTTTGTTTTTTAAACACGGTGCATATCCATATCGGTACCTTCTTTGCGAAATCTGCTCAAACGGTACCCTCTCTGAACATGCACAGGTCATTCTCTGCTAAAAACTAACCAGCGATAGATACCAATCCAGTAAAATTTCATTGTAATAAGGAAAGGAGGTATGTCACGTAGAAAAGATGTATACCACGGAACACTAGGATGTTTTATTTATGTGCTGATTTGTCATGTGCCCGATTTTCATGTGCTGCAACTTCACAATAAGCTACAAAAAATCGACTAGTCTTGCTTCGCCCATCAGCTCGACATATTTTTTCTGGCTGAAATGAACCAGTGGCTTGATTATATATGCATCATACATATTTAATATGTTCATATACATATAATCTTCGGACAAATGGCAGTATAATGTCAAAAATAAATGTAAATTTCATAAAAACACCCTACTTTCGGTTTTGCAGCGGCACGGGCTACCTCTCTTCATTTGAATTTTTATATCACAGGTACCCTCTCATTTTTTCACACATAGGTACCCTCAAAGCACGACATATGCTTTTATTTGCGTTAATCATTAAGTATGTAATATTTACATAAAAGTAAAAAGTATTACATACACATTTAACGATTAACGCAAATAAAAGCATATGTCCTGCTTTGAGGGTACCTATGTGTTCAATAATAAGAAAAAAGTTTAAAGCTGGTTTTTTTAAGAAAAAGTTTAAAGCTGATCTTTTTTAAGAAAAAGTCAAGCTATTATGATTGATGCAGCGTCATTGTCGTTGTCGTCCTAGTGCAAAAACTTAAAATGCAGCCCATTACTCAAACAATTTTAAAGGTACACGTATCAATGAAAATGAAACTTGGAATACTAAGACAAGGGGCATAATTATGAAATGCTATATTTTTGGAGTTGTGGCTCTTTTTAACTTTTTTTATTCTAAAGCATGCAGTGCTCTCGTTTTAACCTTGTAATAGCAGTATCAAGCCGGTGCATTTATTCGTGTAACTAATTTTCTTCTGGCTGTTTTCATCGTTATATTTTGTAAAGCAAGAAAAACATTGCTAAGAAAACTTACTTGTTTATACAATGTAACATTTCAGAATGTGTGCACTATGTTATGTGGTATATTATTTCAGAGGAGCTACGAGTAAAGGCGTCTCAACTAAGAAATGCTCTTGGTAACTTGAAGGTGATGAAGACAACGGAAGGCGAGAATAAGAGAGACTTAGATGAATTGAGGTCAACTGTCGGCCAGTTATCTCTGGAAAACACTGAATATAAAGAAGAAATCTCTCAACTTAAGGTATATTTAAATTAACCCTTGTCCACCCCCACCCCCTAAATTTTGAATTTATTTCATGGAATTTCATTAGTTTTAGTGATTTGAACAATAAAATACATGTATTGACATTGGCTGACAGGTAAGAGGTTGATTTAAAAACTGAATCATAAGTCTTGGCTAACTATTTACAGATTAGACCATGGTATAGGTTAAAATTTATTAGTACGTATTTACAAAGTTAAATTCGTCAGGCGCGGCCCCTGACCAATTTAATTTTGTAAATACGTACTGGTAAATTTTAATCGGCTTAGTGTTTTAAATTATTTTTATTAACAGTCGATTTACTTGACTGATTAACAGTTTGCCGATTTACCAAAGTAAATGTGTTACGATTCATTTGAAATACTGCAATCCTATTGGACAAAAAAATGATTTCAAACACTAAGTAGAAGTAAAGACAGAATTCTGAGAAGTTTTCAATCTAATACTGTTAATTTGTTAGAATACTAAAATAATTTGTAACACCTTGATTTGATACATTGTACTTACTTAAAAAAAAAATCATATCCACTATCCTGTACATTATGTAATTTTAAAGTGACATTATGCTAATTCTTTTGCTGTCAAGTTCAGCTAAATAAGTAATATTTTTTTAAAGATTGGCTATTAATTGTAGGGTAAAGAATAAAAACTACCTAAATTATAAAAAGTCTGTCCCACTCTTTTCTTTTAAAATTGAACGCTACCAATACATTCCGAACAATATTTATAGAAATATCTGTGGGTCACATGGGATAGTTAAATATAAAACTGAACACAATTATGGCAAAATTTAGTTATTTTGAGATTTATCTGTGCACTAACCATGTACATTCGGATGGGCATGATGTCATTTTTATTTAACAATATCATTAAAATCATAGTTAAAATCTCGATTTAATTATGTATTAAATACTAAGCTCAAAGTTTATGTTAATCATCATGATTATCTTTAAAAAATATCTTAGAAGCTGTCTCTGTTGCAAAATGTTGTGTTATGAGTATAAAGATTTGTGGTACTAATTTAAAGGGACTCCACTGAGGTTTTTTTTTTTTTTGTGACGTAACTTGAAATAATTTTTCGAGATTAATGTTCTGTTAGATGTAGGTCCAGACCAATAACTTGTGTGCAAAATTTCAGACCATTCTCTCACTCCATTTTTCAAGAATAATTATTCTAATTGTGAAAAATGATACCAAATTGTAAAGCATTGCAATGCTTTTCACTCATATTGGGCTAAGGTAGCGCACAAATATGATTTTCAATTTATTTGGAGTATAATTTCTTAAATATCTTTTGCATATCTCTCTAAATTTAAGAATCTCAGTTGATCTATATAAGGAATTCAACATTTATGTTTATAGGCTTTTGAACCTCAGTGGAGTTCCTTTAAGGTTTGGAATATGTTTGTGATATGTACTATACATTGTATCTATAAATAACTAATTTCATGTTGGTAACAGGATGTGTGTCACATCAGTGTGGTAAGAAATGCTGTTGAATTGTCGTTTAATTCTCTATTTTTGAAAATTTTAAATTTTTGTGTTGAATTATATTTGTTATGTTCTTCTTGAAAAATCAGTTTTGTTGCTTCAAATTTTTTATTCTCGACCCTTTAAAAGTTTGTTTTAAAGTTTTGCCTCACTTTAGACCTGGAAGTGTTCATTGTTACATAAAGCAAGTAGAATATCAAAATAATTAAAATTGTGCTCTTGTTATACTGAGCAAAACTGGGGTCGCCCCTTGTGGTTGAGGGGTTGCCTTTACGGGTTGAGGCATCAGCATTGAAGCCACCGTTCAACCTTGAGTAATCTTAAGAGGTGACTAAATTGGTTGTCAACTAGTGCAGACTATGCATCTCTTAGCTCCAGCAGTTGAGGTGGTTTTTATCCACACACGTTAGCCAAAATCATCTCACCTGTTTCGGTGGCATATGACCAAAACTGGTTGGTGTGCCGTAAAACCAAACAAAACCAAAACTGATGAGTCATGTGAGCACTAGGCTGTTGTTGCCTCCCTTTGTAATATAAGTACATGTATATAATAATAAATTATAAATGAAATATTTTTTTCTAAACATTAAATAACAATTATTGATCACAGATTTGTAATTATACATGAATGTATTTATAGTTGATATACATTTCATATATATTCAATATATTGATATATATTTCTATGAATAAATTTGTAATTATAGGAATTGAACGAGACGTTACATGAAAATGTCAATGATTTGTCATCAAAATTGGGCAAGCTTGAGACGAGGGAGGAAGAACTGACCGCTAGTCTTAGACTAAAGGTAAATATCTTCACTGATCTTGTTGATATATATATAGCCATGCTTGATTATTATAGAATCAGATGTATAGAATATGTTCTTCTATAATTATTTCATCAGTAATTTAAATAGGTATAGGAACACTAAATTCTGGAGGATTTGTAAAGCATTGGTAACTTAACTTTTTACGAAATAACTTGCCTACACAGTATTTGATCACAAACATAAATTGTAGAAATATCCCTGTTTTATTGCAAGAAGAACAACAACAACAACAAACAATCACTTGTCTAAGATATTTAGGAGTTCAGTCAAGTTAGTTGGCTGTTGAAGCTGTATACTGAATCAGCGTCACTTCAAATGACATCTGATTGTTCAATGCTTTCTAGACGATATCTAAGTTGGTGATTACTGAAAAAAGTATAGAAAAATAACCCAGATGAAGATGGCTACCGCCACTCATGAAATATTTATTTTCATACCACTCGATGAAAATAAATTGTGTATTTGTAGCAAAAAATTGAATAGCCTCTATATATTTGACAGGAGAAGGATATTTCCTCGGCAACGGGTCACATGAGAGATTTGAGTGAACGACTACAGCAGCTTGATCTTAAATGTAAGGAGTGTCAGGATCGTGAGAGGGACGCACTGAGAGAGAAACACGAGTGGAAACAACGATATGAGAACCTTAAAGATGAATTCAATGCTTTAGCAGGTATCAGATAAGTCATGTACATTGTTTTCAGTGTATTATCATAATATATTTCACGACGTGTACACCACCCTCAAGGTTATGAAACTGGCTTCCGAATTCTGTCTTCATGGTCTTCTCAAATCACAAAATTTTCATTGGCTGGCGCATATTTTTTTCATGTTTCTGACCAACCAATTACCTGAGATCAAAGAGCTTGGAAAATTTGAATAAAAGAGTGTACAAACTATGTATGGATTCCCTATTACAGGTCATATAAAGTTGGTGTTTCTTTAAAAAAAACTATTTTTTTTATGACACATGTTGACCACCTATAGTGGGTAGGAATTTTAACAGAACATATCTACTTTGTGTGAAGTCAAAACATGTTTATTTTATATTTACAAAGAGACTGTGTAGCAATTATAAATATTATATAACATCAAATTTGAGCATAGTATATCTTTAAAATGATGTATATTTCTACTGAAAATTCCTTTCATTTCTTATATATGCTTTTCATCTGCATTGAAACATAGTTGGTCCATGTGGAACTTATATTTTGTGTTATTACCCACTAGGTGACATGGATCTGAGAAGGAAAGAGGCTGTACGATTAGCAGAAGAGAATAAATCTGCCAGGCAACAACTTGCTCTTGTACATAAAGAAGCCAGTATGTACAATTTATGCTATTTTAATGTAACTAATTCATCTAATTAACCCTATTGCTGAATTTATTTGCTTTGATTGACTTGCACCCATTGTGTCTGAGGGGTTGTCTTTAAAGGTTAAGGCATCACCATTGCACCGTTTATCCCTGTGTGATTGTAAGAAATGGCTAAATGAGCCACTTCACGACAAAACCAACATAATGGGTTTGCGACAAACATGGATCCAGACCAGCCTGCGCATCCACGCAGTCTGATCAGGATCCATGCTGTTCGCTTACAAACCCTATAACAAGTAGAGAAACTGATAGCGAACAGCATGGATGCTGATCAGACTGCATGGATGCGCAGGCTGGTCTGGATCCATGCTGGTTGCAAACCCACTATGTTGGTTTTGTCGTGACGCGGCTCAAATAAGTTTGAATTACTGGAGTCTGATGCATCTCTTAGCTCCCGCAGGTGAGGTGGTTTTGACCCCTGGTTTGCTTTGAAGTTAGTAACACCTGACGTTACGCAAAATCATCTTTCCTATTTTGGCGCCATATGTTCTTTATTGTGTTGGTGTGCCTTCAGAACCTCCGGCTTAGGTAGATAGGTATTACATTGGGTTTTGTAATATATTGTAGCTAGTTCCATTCTTGGACGAGGTGAAATTTTTCTGTGACTCATATTGTTTTACTTGGAACACAATACATACATAATATAGCAGATAAACGTTCATACAGAGCTAAAGTATAAATACTCTATTGTGCTATATGTGCCCTATTGTGTGCACATTAAACATGTAATACACCCCTGATCTGATGAAAGTAAACTGTATTCCTAGAAAAGATTTCGCGCATTTTAAGTTAGCGGTTTTCGTGGTAGGCATGATTCCGCGAATCTTTATAGCCGTGAATATGTCACTTATAACAAATCCGCGAACATTTCTAGCTTCAACCAAATATAACATAAAAAGTGCAGAATATTTATTATAATCTACTTACACAAAACAACATATAAACACAGGTGTTATAGAAATATGTAAAAATTTATTTATGTATGTTATTGATACTAGTTTGCACGCTGAAAAAGAAAAAAAATCATTATTAGTAATTAACATGCTTATTGGCGTTATTTGCTAGTCATGGCTTTGACAAACGCATTTACAGTTTGCGAACATTGAATGACTTGGATTTTATTTGCTTGGAGTACTTGTAATCTTTTGTTAAAAGTACAATAGAATCAAGTGCTATATTGGTAAACAGCTGTTATGTTGTTATAATAAAATTGATGTACAGTCCAAAAATGTGTAAAAAATACGTATTGACATTTTGAAGATAAAGTCAGTTTTGATTCAAATGAGAATAAAAGCTAACAGGTCTGACTAAATCTTACTTAATAACATAATGAAAAAGGTAAGGAAATATGAATGTGTTCACGGAACAACCGTCCTTGTTCGACTAGTCAATAGATGAAAATGTATCGAGTAACGTTGCGCTTT